CTGCACATATGAGGGAATGAGCGGATGGAGAACTTAGCATCATGGATCTCCTGGGCCAGCAGAGGGCTAGGACTGGGTCTTACTCCTGTCTGTACGGGAACCAATCCACAGCAGGTGCTCAGTGAGGTTGTGTTGAGGATAGGTGTGGAAGGGGAGAAAGATGACACATTACTTCAAGGTGAGCCAGGAAGTGCTCGGGCCCAAGGTCAGCACCGTGGGACAGAGAGAGACCTCCAACCCTAACAAACACCAGCGAAGGCTTCCTGAAAGAGGCTGGGGCTGTTCTGGACCTCAGCAGGCAGGATTCAGCTTCGTGACAGGGACTAGGAGAAGAGCACATTCCACGGGGAGGGAAAGGCAGGAGGCACAGGCTAGAGCGCGCAAGGCTGAAGATTCAGCTCAGGCTTTTGAATGCTCATCTGTGGTAGTTGTGGAACTAAGTTCTTAGCAGGGAACAGGATGAAACAGTGCTTTGGGAAGGTCCCTCTGGGGATGGGGTGGAGAACACCTGGAGGGGACTAACTGGAAAGGAAGGGTGAGGGACCAAGTAGGAGACCCACCCTGGAAATTAGACGAGAGATGAGGCCAGAGCTAGAGCTGCCACAGGGAGGACGAAGGGCCATCGCTAAGGGGGAAGGCTGCTTGGGAGGGAATTAATTGTGTGGCCGGTGCGTGTGCACGTACCTCTCCCTGAGGTAGGGCATACCTGAGATGTGTTGCGGTGGAAATGTTGATTTGGGTGCCTGAGGGCCTTCCTCGGGGTGGCTGGGAGAGGGGGTTGCTGTTTGATCAGACAGTTGCCTCTGAGGCTGAGAAGGGAAAGGCTTCGAAGACGCCTCTGCTCAGGTGCTGGGAGGCCCCGCAGCCCTGAGACACCATTGCAGACAAGGGTGGCTTGAGGACAGCGGGAAGGGAGTCCGTTACTCCTTCCCTGCTGTCACTCCAGCCAGATTCCTGGGAAAGGAAATACAATACAATACGCGTTTCTGTATGGAAGCAGCCCAGGAGGGGGCTTCCTACCACTTTGCCCTGCTCAGAACATTCAGAATTATTTTTCCAGCAAAGCTTTTATGACTCATAGCCCTTCCCCCTGGGTGTAAGAACCCCCAGCTGTCACCAGGGATGGCGTGAGCCATTGAGTCTGTGCTGGCATCTCATCGCCCTCCCCACAAAAGTGGTCTACAGTCCACGTATAAAAGTACAAAAGGTGTAAAAGCTGTGACGAAGAGCACAGCACAGTTGAAAACATGTGGGCCACCTCCTGGACATCTGTTCCACAGCCCCGCTTTGTCCCGTCAGCACCCATGTTGGAGATGCCCTGCAGCCCAGCCTGGGCTCCACGGGTGGCCATGGGCCAGCTCCCCATCGAAGCAGACTCAGGCCGTCACACGTGCCTCTCCGGGCTGCCAGCGATAAGTCAGTCATCACCAGTCCTCAGAGTTGGGAGCGGCCAGGCGGGAGTCGGTCAGCAGCTGGTCCTGGCTGAGCATAGTCTGAAAGGACACGGCCGAAGGCACTGTTTAACAGCGTTTTGGTCAAGGCTGCCCTGCGGCCACGATGTGGGAAGCAGCGGGGCACTGGGTGTGGCCCTGACTCCAGCGCCCTGTAAGTTCATGGCGTCCCAGGCACCCCACATGCTGGGTCAGAATAGACAACCCTATCAACAGTAACTTGCTCCTACCTTTAGAAGTAAAGCGCGAGGCTGGGTGAATTCATTTCAGTGTGTGAGCCAAGAAAAAAACAAATTGAAAACAGTGATCTTGTTTGGATTCGGGGAGACCTGCCCCCCCCCCCCCCGTCCTGAAGGAAGTAGAGAGGGACCAAGTCGTGAGGAAATGGGGCAGGAGCCTCAGAGGTGGCTGAGGCCAAGTGGGAGATGCCGGTGGTGCAGGGGGTTGACCGGCTGGGGCACCGCCTCCCCCCCCCCCCCCGCCGCCCCCTCCTTGACCATCTTGCCCTTGGATACAGCCTTAGCCTTCATAACCTGCCTCAGTAAATCAGCAAAGGCCTCAATGGGCTGGACGCTGTGGCCGGTGGGCTCGGTGCTGGGGCTGTCTAGGAACTGTGAGGCCCTGGAAGGCACAGGGCCTCAACAATGTAAATCTTTTTTGTGACTGGCCTTTTACCGCCAGCTCCGGGCTGCCTAGAGGCCTTGCAAGGAGGATATTAGCCCTGCTTGACAGACAGGGAAGCCAGGGCTTGGAGAGAGAGTGACTTGCCCGAGGTCCCAGACAGGGACCAGGTCAGCCTCCCTCCAGAGTGCCTCCTCTCCCGTGGTCCAAGCTGCTTCATATGGTATGGCTTGTCCCCACTGGACATGCCAGGATGTGCTCACGTGCCTGTGGTGTCCATGAAGCCAGAGGCGTGATAGGAAATATGTGTCTCGTGGATGGAGAGGGCAGAGCAGTGGCCACCAAGCCAGGGGCGAGGCCTGGGCTTCGGGCTGACGAGGCAGGTGACCCAGAGCTGCTGAGCATCTTGGTTTCCTCACCAGCCTTGGGCCTGGGAAGAGGGCCTGAGACCTAGCACACCTTAGCTGGTTTGAGCTCAAGGCTGGCAGCAGGCCAACAGAGAAGGCCTCTGGGCTGCTTTCCGTCTCGGCTGGTTCAGGCTCCAGCCCCAGCCCCCAGCCCCATCTGCTCTCCGCCAGCAGAGGCCCTGATGCCACAGGCTCTGGAGTAGGCACGGGAGCTGCCCCAGCACCACCCCCAAACTCCCGGGGCCTCCCCAGCACCTGTCCTACTGTGGAGAGAGGGTCAGAGTCCTACCGTGAGGCGGTGAATGCCTTGGGAGAGGAGCCCTATCTGCGTCAGGGTGCCTTCCGAAGGTGCCATCTGTAAAATGGGCAGCAGCCTGGTCAGCACATGTGGACTGAGCTCGTGATTCGCAGAGGTGGCATGCAAGTCCTATCCTGCTCAGGCGTGCTCCGCAGGCGAGTGGGCAAGGAGTGGGCCAGGCCCTGAGGAGTGACGGGTGGAGCACATGCCGCTTCTGTCCCTGGGGAAAGGCAGAGCCTCCAGTGTCCCACACCATCACACACACACACACACACACTCTCCTTTGTCCCCACCCCGGCGCCAGCGCTAAGGGGACACAGGAGCAGGGCACAGACGGGCCCTGTCAGAGCGGCCCTTTAGCACAGGTTCAGTGCTCCAGCTATTTCCAGGAGCAGAGAGTGGCAGGGATGAAGGCCTTCAGGATGCTGAACTCACTGAACATTTCTGGCACCAGCAGGACCCCAGACGCTGATGCCCCAGTGTAGACATAGCTAGGCATCCTCAGGGGGCTGTCAGGGCGTCCTCACCCCTAGGAGCCTGCCCCCTGTCCTTCTCAGGTAAATGCTGGCCTGCTCCTTCTTTCCCCAAACCTATCTGGACAGCGTAGATTTGCCCTTTGAGGGCATCGAGTATAATCCATCATTTTATGGGTGGGAAAACTGGGGCCCACAAAGTGATACAGGCCTTGCTTGAGGCTGCACAGAGAACTAGTGACATAACAGTTCCATGCAGGGTTTGAAAGCAGGCACATGCGGAGATTCTTCCACCAGCACACGATAAGAAACAAGGGACAAAGCCCGCCCTGACTGTGGCTCTAAACTGCAGTACCCAGGTATCAGCCCCGGGGAGCACCTGTCATTCACTGGTTCCGGCCCTGGGATCAAACAGCAGCCATGCCAGCTGGCAAGCCTGTGCCCTTATCTCTTGCTGGCTGGACTTCAGGGGAGGCCGGGAGGCCATGGCCTGAGACTGTTGGTAGTTTAAGAAGCAAATCTTCACATCGCCTCCATCTGGGACAGAATCAGAGTGTTCAGATTGGGGTCATGAGGCCCTGCCCCATCCGCCAGACAGTTACGGTGCTGCCGTCGTGCTTCTGCAGACGAGGCCTGGGGACCCAGTAGAGCCGAAAGCTAACTGGGATCTCATGAGCAGGAGCCCAGACTGGCAGGTGTGTCCCCTGCCCCTGTCCTTGGCCAGGCCAGGCCCGTCTGGAAGACCCATTATCAGTCAGTCGGCCTCTAAATCAGGAGGACAGGTCTGTTCCAGCTCTGCCAACACAGACCAGCCCCCACGGGGTTACAGGCCCAGCACGGTCAGTCACAGCGGAGCGGCACAACACGTGAAAGAACAGAGGGCCTTTCCAGCGATGCCGCCTGGTCTCCCCACGCCCCCTTCACTAGGTGGCCCCTCCCGCTGGAATGGAAACCGACTTCGGGGTCTGCACGGCAGATGTGACCTCCAGTCAGGACGTGAGACACAAAGTGCCTCTCAGCTTCACGCTGGGCAGCGGAGCCTGAAGCGACACCACAGACCTCCAAAGGATGGGGGTCCCTCCTTGCTCCAGCCCCCTCACCCAGGACACCCACAAATCCTGACCCAGCTCAGCAGCACTGGCTCTCGAACTGCGCGATGAGCAGTACTCCATCTCTAGCTGTGCCCAACTCACTTCCCTTGACAAGATTAAAGATGCTGTGCAGTTTGTTTTCTACATAAATATAGGTTTTATTACCAGAAAGAAGCGACCGCCTCCGAAGGAAGGCGCAACAGTTCCATTGTCACTGGGGCAGAAGTCCCTGCTGCTGTCCCTTCAGCCACAGCCAAAACTGTGGTCACAGGCCTAAGGCACTTGGGATTGCCCTTAACGGGGTCACAGCCGAGGGGCCTAAGAGCTCAGCCTCGGGATTTGTCCGTGGTCTCTGGACCTGTGTCCAAGCTCAGGTATTGCCACTGGTGCTCAAGGTGGACATTCAGACTTACTGAAAACGTACAAGCATCTTTATGTCTTTCCTCCTGAGTCCCCAAGGCTGGCCCCTTAGCAAAGATGCAGCTCCATACCTGGCCACCCTCAGGATTTGGAGAAAGACTGGCCCACGGGTACACAGTGGCTGGAATGTTTTCTGCAAGTCATGCACATACACAGGGGGTGAGGTGCAGTTACATGGTGACACACACGGAGTTACTGTGAGCTCTCAGGACGCACAGACAGTACAGGTGACAAAGGCATCAGCTAATCTGTCCCACCTGGTCCAGCCCGTCCAGTTCAGGGGCATCGAGGGGGCTGAGGCCCTGGTAGCCAATACAGACCCTGTGACTGTCACCGACACCGTTGCTGGGCTCCACTGGGCAAATGTAGTCTGTCGATTCATCGAACTTCTTTTTTCTTATGTTTCCAAAATGTGAAAATCCCAGTTTCCTTGGCTAAAACACAGCAGATACAAGACTGTGAGAAAGAGATTATCAAGCTAGTGTGCAGCTACTACTGACAATACGTTTTAGAACAGGCCGACGAGGTAAAGGAATAAGGCAAACTGCTTCTAGAAAAACTCTTAACAGAATAGAGCTCCTGTAAGCAGCTGCCCTTCTGGAAAAGCCGTAAATCATCGTGAGCAAGCAGAGCTGCTCCTCCAAGACTCCGTACCTGAAACTCCTGCCCTGCTGTCCCACTAGTGATGTTCACATTCGCCGGGGGAACTGGGGATTCCCAGAGGCTGCCACAGTCTGTACAGAGGCTGAGCTCAGAGGACTTGGTATTACACGTGGAGCACCCCCTGCCTTCTGTTCACAGCACCTTGGGAAGCCACACGGACAGCCCTAGGCGGCCCCTCCTCCCTGCTCCAGCTTTGTCCTGAGTTGGCGGGACAGCTCAAGCAGGTGGAACGGGCTTTGTGGGATTCAGAGCCCCAGTGAGCGGCGCTGGTGCTTGGATGACCTCGGGACCTCTGGGTGGCTGTGTGCTGGCCACCTCCCCAGCACAAGGGGACCACGGCTGGCTACCCACAGGGACACTCCTTATGTTGGCAAGACAGCTTAGACCAGGACCCCACGTGGCATGTGGAATGCAGATGGGTCTGACCATTCGGGAGCTTGTCTGCTTTGCACAGCGAGTCAAGGCAGTGTTGGGAGAGAGGACCCGATGCTGCCTGTATGTCATTTCTGCGTGAAGAAACCTGCGCACCCTTGGACTCGAGAGTGGCCGGGAACTGGGCTAACAAAAGTAACAAAATCAAACCGAAGGTAGAAACCAAGGCAGAAGCCAAGACAGCCTCCTTGTCCAGGCAGCCCACTTGGGTTTGGCTCCAGGCACTGGGTCAGCTGCTACACGACTCAAGGGCCAGAAGGCAGGCCCCTGTGGCCACCCCAGAAAGGGCCTGGCAACTCACCCGGACTTTGGCTGTGGTGGTCAGTGGCATGTAAGCAGGTGAAGTCATTTTCTCTCGCTTCTCCTGCTCAGCCTCAGGGCCAATCAAGGCATTGAATTTGGTGGTCAGGTGGCGCCTGAGGAGTGTCTTTTGTGGTGGGATGTTGAGAAGCATGGCCAGCGTGTCCCCAGTGAAGCGGGGCTCCAGGATCTAAGAAGAAACCACAGACAAGCCACCCAGTGGCGACCACCAGTGGCTCTAGGTGATGACACTGAGAAACAGGCCCCCAGGAGCCCGGGTGGCCCCAGGGCAGGGGCTGAGGCTCACCCACTTGTCCTGTGTCCCCCTCCCCTCTGTCTCCCTGGCACAGGGCCCGGCTCTGTGACTGACCAGCAGAGAGCTGTGCCCTCTTAGATAAGGCTGTCTCCCAGGGTCTATCTGGAGGACAACTGAGCCACCCCTTCCTCTTTTCCCTGCTGGCTTTGCCACTTGACAGATAAGTGCTGATGCAGATCGTATCATGACAAGCAGGAGGGTACATTTTGGTGGCCTCCCCCTCCCTCCCAAGCCCTGTGTTCCTCCAGCAGCAGCTGGAGCTGCCTGGTTAACAGGCAGTTCTCATGCAGCCCCTTTTTCCTGGACTCCTCTGGGTCTGTGGCTCGGGAAGTCTTTCCAGAAGCCATCTTGTTTGCGTGAAATCTATTAATTCTCAGCCACAAATGATCAGATTCTACTTTGAGACTTCAATTTATGCGAGGGGTTCAGATGAAGTAACATCAGTTTCTGAATACCCCAGGTGTCACCGAGGCAGGTGGACCAGCCCAAAGAGCCACTCACAATGAGACCTCCGTGGACACCACTCCCACGAAGGTTGGGCGCATATTCCGCCAGGTCCACGGACCGCAACCATTCCATCACCCTGTGGTTGGACCACTGCACAACTTCTGAAGGAGAAAGGTTACTCTACGAGAGAGAAGGAGAGTGGAGAAGTTAGGCCTACAGGTCCTACCAGCGTCCTCGGCGGAGCCAGTCCCTGTGAGTAAGCCGGCCCCCAACGCCGTGCCCAAGGCAATCCTTACGCCTACAGACCCAGGCCTCCAGGCCAGCTGCCTGAGAGCCCTCCCAGTCTCCAAGAAGTAAAGCTCTCATTGAACTTGCATGATCTTTTACACTGAGATATCCGATTCCAGAATCCCGTTACTCCCTGACTCTGGTTACTTTGGGACTAACACATGAAAGCATGGAGTTGTTCATTCAGTGATCAACAGAACTTTAAAGAGGACTGTCAGTTACAAGCTGAGTGTTTTATAGAATCAAGATCTCACTGGTCTCACTGGTGTGGCCAAACGTTTTGGGAGAACACATGTTAAGATACTTATATCTGAGTACCCTCAAGTGGCACCTGGGTCTTCAAAATGCCCAGCAGTGTGCCTAACATATAGAAGGTTCAAAACGTGTTTGTGCAACAGGGAGAAAAGAGGGGACGGAGAGTAGAGAGATGAATATTTAATCCCCTGGAAAGCTGAGTTACTCTTACAGCAGGGTTAGTCTTGGCTCCCATGAACATAGGAGACGGGGCGTGACTGACCATCCTGTAGCTTTGGGGCCCACCCAGAACTCCGAGGTTCCTGGAACATTATTAGGGAATTCTCCAGGATTTGGGTTGCTGTGTTTACCGCCACCATTTCTTCTCTAGCAAAACCTGATCATGGATTCCCTGTGCGCCTGGGTCTGGAGGGTCAGTTAATTTTCTACCAACGAGTAGGGAGATCTGTTCTGAAATGTCTGGTTACTTATGGGGTCCCTCCTCTTCTCTCCTCTGCCTATCTTGACACTGTCTTTCCATTTTGTCCCGCCCTTCCCTCTCCTTTGCTCCATTTCCTCATCTCCTTTAATCACTATGATGGCTTTGAAAGACTTGCTGCTACTGCCCTCCAGCCCATAGCATATGTCTCTCCAAAAGGAGGGAGGAGTTGGAGGGCTAGTGGCTGCTGTGGGACGCAGGGTTCAGGCCACAGGCGTGTTGGGACACCATGAAGCCCTAGTAAAGGGAAGAATCCGCGGCACCATGGTCCAAAATACAGCCACTTTATGACCGTGTCATTCTTGTTTTCTCACACCCGATCTTACAGGCGTCCCAGCTCAGGGCTATCTGGCCAGATACAGTGTCCTGCCCTCACCTCATTAGCTGGCCGCCGGTGCAGGCAGTGAGGGTTGAACTTGTTGACATGCAGCACGTGAATGGCACATTTGATGCTGAGATGATGTAGTTGGCTGGTGACTTTTAGGAAAAGTAGATCATTCTGGAAAAGTCAAGTTTTGGTTGATGAACCAGAGCTTCCAAAGTGACAAACACCCCCCGAGGCTCCTTCCCAGACCATACACAGACGAGTGGTCTACTACACGTCAGGAATGCATGTGGACACGCAACAGCTTTCCTTGGCGCAATGGTTCGTACTAATTGGGACCTCTTATGTGACAAACGACACTGTTTTAGACCCGAGGGATATGAGGGAGGTGTGGAATCAAGTTTAAATACCGCCATGGGGACACCTGAGTTGAGTTCGGTGTTCACAGGGACAACTGAAACACTGGAGGAAGGATCCTCACCACAGTTAGGTACTGCAGCATTCGCCCGTCGACTCTGGACTCATGAAACTGGTCTTTGTACTGGGGTAAGCCAATATCATCAAGCCAACCTACAGAAACAGGGAAGTGAAATTTGTGAAAATGGGAGACCGTGGATGCCAAAAAAAAAAAAAAAGGCAGCAGCAAATTATCATTCTGAGTTCCAGCTATATTTCCCCTGAAGTTTAGTAATCCATCTGCCTGTCCCAAGGACACAGCTGCCTTTGAGGCACACATTCCCAGGGGGCTGCCAGAAACATTACATATGCCTGTCCTTACGTGTCACCCAGATGTGGTCCAGTAGTGCAGACTTCTCCTCCTGCTTGGTGTTGATGGCTTTCACTGCTAAAACCAGCTTCTTCCTATGAAGAGGGTGCTTAATTCCCAGCTCCTGAAAGTGAAAGATGAAGACAGATGTGAAATCTCGGCAGGCAGCCTGGCCCTCAGAGGATGCTGTGTCTCGGTGGAGGTGCTCCACCTGGGTGGAGCACGGAAGCGGACCTCTGCCCAGCGCCCTGGGATCAACCTGCAGTGACAGAGAGAATCTCGCCCTCCTTTGTCAACTCTCCTGTGTGTGGGTGTGGGTGGGCGGTGGAGGAACGGGGGGGGGGGGGGGCCGCGGAGGTGAATGAGGGGCTAGGGCTCGGAGTGATGGGGCGGGGTCCAGGGTGGGGGGGGGAGAGGGGGGGGGGGGGGGGCCTCACTTCCCTGTGCGCTGGCTTGGGGAGAGATGGGAGCCTCCTAGCCCAGGGCTCGGCCCTTACCTTTTCCATGTCCTGAGGGGTAGCTGTCAGTAGCGTGTGGCCAGAGGTCACCCACTGCCTGGCAAACATCACGTACTGAGCCAGGCCGACGTCCTCCAGCCACGCGCACACACGCTCTGTGCTCCACCGGGCGAAGGGGGCGCTGGCGTCACTGGGAAGCAGGAGACAGCACGACCCAGTTACCGGGAGAGCCTGGGCTCCAGCGGAACACAACAGCGCCTCACAAAAAGGGACCAGGTTTAAACAAAACCCCCATCGTGGGATCCAGTTGAACAAAACCCCACTGCAGTGCACTCACTGGAGGTAGACTCTAGAGTTTCCCGGGATAACCCCTGGTCTGAATCTCAAGTCTGCAGCTGCTGGGAGCTTGGGGCAGTTATATGCTCCTCAGGAAGCTGTGCTCACATGTGCTATCAGTCCACATATACATGCATGCGAGCCAAAACCCATTTGGATGAAGATCCACACCCGAATCATGTTTTACACAGGGCTTAATATCGTTTTCAGGAAAATGCTTAGAAAACTAGGAAGAGGGTATCTAACATTAAAAAAAAAAAAAAAAAACACAAAAAACCTTCCTCCAATCAACAACAGTTAACGCCTTATTTACTAATGAAACACTAGGGGCATTCACATTAAAGTTAATAAAGACAGTATTTTTTATCACATTAGTAACACTAGTCTGAGAGTTGCAGCAAATATAAGAAGAGACAAAAATAAAAAATATAGCTATTAGAAAGGCAGAAATAAAAGAAAGCCATTCTTTTCAAATGATACGATTGCCCACCTAGAAAACCCAAGAGAACTCAGTAAGGTGGCTGGTTATAAAACACACACACTAATATTTATGACATACACAAATCAATAATTTTCTATATACCATCAATGCACAGATACTAACATTTTTGTTCAAATAATCCACTCACAGCAACCAAAATTATGAAATGTCTAGGATCCGTCTTTATAAGGAATGTGTGGGTCTTGTGTAACCGTGTGTGGGGATGGGGGGAGGTGGTAACTATGACACGCAACTAAGCAGCATAAAAAAAGACATGAATAAATAAGAGCTAGATCATGTTCCTAGACAGGAAGCCTGGGTATTACAAAGCCATCAGTTCTTAAAGACATCAATTTTTCATTTAAAGTGTAAAGGTAATGGTACACTCAAAATCCCAGTTGAGTCTTGGGGGCGGTGGGGGGCATGGAGGTTGACAAAGCAACTTAATATTCTTTTTTTTTTTTTTTCGTTACGCGGGCCCCTCACTGTTGTGGCCTCTCCCGTTGTGGAGCACAGGCTCCAGACACGCAGGCTCAGCGGCCATGGCTCACGGGCCCAGCCGCTCCACAGCACGTGGGATCTTCCCGGACCGGGGCACGAACCCGTGTCCCCTGCATCGGCAGGCGGACTCTCAGCCACTGCACCACCAGGGAAGCCCTATATTCATTTTTTAGAGGAGGATTCATGGAATATAGAAGACTACCTATTCTAAAAGATTCCTTCTAAGAAAGTATTCCTAAAATGCTGGTTAAAAAAAAAATTTTTTTTTAATGCCTAGATGAGGCATCAAAAATGTTCTTAAAGTGAGGGTGTTCCTTAAAGGGCCAGGAAGACCATAAAGCACCATTCTAGAACAAGTGCTGGAGATGATGTGTACCTTAGAGCAGGTGCTGGTCACTCAGCCTGGAGCCTGGGTTTTAATGAATCATGAATAGGTGCAGATCCAGGTTTCCAGTGAAAACTGGAACTTATAAAATTTGGGGGGGGGCCCACTAAGAAAAGTACACAGTTTGAATATGGAATTAGGAACAAAATGAATATTTCGAGTAAGAAAACAAATCACAAAAAATTACAAATCTAATCAAACTGGAAAAGATCATGAAATCCAGAAAAATAATATTTTTATTAATTAACTCCTAGATATACCTCTATTGTACTTTACCTTCACGTTTGGGGTGCATATTCTTTGCTTTGTCATATGTCAGCAACTCTATAACATAGCTGTCCCTCTGTATCTGCCAGGGGATTAGTTCCAGGATCCCCGTAGACAACAAAATCCAGGGATGCTCAAGTCCCTTATATAAAATGGCATAGTTCACTCAGCCCTCTCTATTTGCGGGTTCCGCATCCACGGATTCAACCAGTGGAAATCCGATCTGCAGTTGTTTGAATCAGTGGATAGGGTGGGGCTATATTTTCTGTGAGAAGCTTTCCGTCTTTCTTCTAGCATGACTGACCAATATTCTTTTGTTATTTTGATAGGTTTTTTAAGTTTTAGCTTCACAATTTATAAGTGGTATTGTCAAATACATTTTTAGAATCATCAAATTTAGGAAAACCTCTATCAAGTGTCTTTTAGATGCGAGCTGTAAAATTCCATAGCGTTCAAGTTTTTTACTGCTAATCTTAAATATTCTTTGAATTGATGACATTTACTTAACGTCCTCGTGGCTGTTGCATATTAGGCAACATCATCTTGGTCAGTGTCAGTATATCATGTAAAATCAGCATGAAATTTTCATCTTTTCCCAATGTGTTCATATAAGTCACTTTATATGAACAACACTCTAGGAACCTATTTACTATTTTTGTTTGGAATTTATCTGTTGCTGCTCTTAGTGAATCACTGCTTTTGGTTTGATCTGGGATTTTTTTATTATTATTACCAGAATAGTTTCTCAATTTCAATGCTTATTTTATCACTTTTATTTCATATTCTATTTTCAATTTCATTTATTTTCTGGTTTCTGGGAATTGGGAAGAAACAAATATTCTATGTATCAGAGGGATATTTCAGTTGAGGGGAAATAAGTGTTTTTGAGACTGTAATTTGAAAGCCTCTGTCCTGTAGACCTTTTCATAACACCCTAGAGCTCTGATGCTTCTCTACCCTCGATCGTCTTCCCATTTTCCCCTTTGTGAATGGTCTCTGCCCTCCTAAGCCTGTGCTGCTCCTACAGTAGCACACTCAGCTTCCCTAACTCCTGGGGTTCTGTCAGTGCCAGGGTCTCCCATACTCTTGTCCAGGGCCACAGCTGAACATGCTATTAAGTAATTTAGAGATGACAGAGAAAGTACCTTTCATATATAGCCAAACCACTTGTTTATTGATATGTTCCAAAACATCCTTCCAAATTGCAGTTAAAATGATGTAAGTGAGATTTATCAAATAGGTCATTCCCATGGTAGACAGAGAACACAGGGTACACTTACAATTGTATGTATATATTTCATTAGTAAGTGCATTTCTGAAAAGAGAGGACTTCTGTTTTGACTAAGCATCTGAGAGAACCAAATCTCCTGCTAAGGATTTGGCAAATCTGATGATTGGAAAATTTCCACAGACTGGCTTCTGGTTCTGCATATTTCAAATGTTCTTTCTTTTTCCACTACCCCATACTTCTGAAACCAAATGCCAGAGAGGACAAGTTCATTTTGGTACAAGATCTCTCACTTTGCATCTTTGTATCAGAATGCTGGGCACACTGGCACATTGGAAGCCATTTTTATAGTAGGACAGCTAATTAACTAAACCTAAGTAAACCAGACATGAAGTGACTACAAACCACATAAACGTAATCCCATTAAACCCAAACTAAGTGGATCCCCAACTCAACCTCCCCATAGCCAGATCCCAAAAATGCCCATGGGTATTCCAGCATCATCTGATATTAGGCAAAGTGTAGACCAAGGGTAAGTTGGAGTAAAGAGTCTGCAGTCTTAAAACTGTTTGTTTAAAATATCTTATGAAAAATATTTTAAAACACACGGCCTTGTCAGTACATTGGTTGGACCCTCTCTGGACCATGGAAGGGGTCTAGGCAAGTAACTGACCTTGAAGCTTAAGCTTCCTTACCTTCATGATAAACCTGACACTGACAGTGAATATGGGAGAAAGGCAGTAAAATGGGGCCTGAAGCAGGGAAGCAGTCTGATCAGAGACCCCTCATAAGCTAGAGTCCCTAAGGGCAATACACTCTGTAGACCAACTCAGAAAACCCCTCCACAAGGATGGGATCCAGCCATGTGGCTTTCAAGACTTAAACATTACACTCTGCTTTCTCTTGGGGGGGAAAAAAACCTCTCTCACCACACACCAAAATAAATCCCCAAATAGATAACTTTTAAAGTTTTAAAAAATCACTTTTTTAAACTCATAGTTTAAAACCAGTTTTTTAAACAATCAGCAAAAAATTTTAAAACAAAATAATGAAAGAAATCACAAAGGAAAAGTTGATGAACTTCATTATACACAAACCTGGAAATTTCATATATCAAAGTAAAATTCTGCAACCTAAAAAATAATTTGTTACAACTTTTAGATGTGGCTTAGTATCTTAATATATAGAGAACAGATAGAAATCTATAAGAAAGATATTAAAGATATTAATAACTAAATAAAAATGGGCAAAAATGCACACAGTTCACAAAAGAAGAAATAAGATAACAAACATGTAAACTAAATAATAAAAATGTAATTTTTGGAGGTCTATAAAACTAGAACTTTAAACAAAGAAAAGCTTCAATATCTTAATGCTGACAAGGTGGTAGGTGCAACAAGCACTCACTGTACAGCAGTGCCGACTAGAATGTAAATCAGCAAAATGGGAAAAAAATTAAAAAATTTCTTATAACCTGAGAGAGAGTTCCTATGAAATGTCATTATCAAATGTTATATTAAAAAACAACTGTTTCACTGGAAAAAACGGATTGGGGCTGGAGACTTTCAGTAACAACGAACTCTTCCTATAGGAATGTTGGTGACAAAATTTTTTTAAGGCTATACCTAAATATCTACAAACTATAAATACCAGAGGACATTAGCATATAATTATATCACATTTCTGTTTAAGAGTAATAAAAGCCTTTCTTTCCCACCAGCAAACTCATTTTTGTTACCATAAGCAGAGTGGTGATAAACATACAATCTCATCAGGCCTTCATTCCCATTCTCCTTGTCATCCATTGCTACTGTTTACAAAGCACAAAGACATCCAAACAAAGCAATCCTGTGGCCCAACTGCAGTTTCGCCTTTGGCAGAGAAGGTTGCCTACACTGGTTGCCCCATACCAAAGGGACTTGTAAGATGGTGGATGGGCCCTAAGGAAAAATACCTGAGGGTCTTAGAAAAGTTTTACACCCTGACCAGTGATTCCCCCTTCAAGAATCATTCCTAGGGCTTCCCTGGTGGCGCAGTGGTTGAGAGTCCGCCTGCCGATGCAGGGGACATGGGTTCGTGCCCCAGTCCGGGAAGATCCCACGTGCTGTGGAGCGGCTGGGCCCGTGAGCCATGGCCGCTGAGCCTGCGCGTCCGGAGCCTGTGCTCCGTGACGGGAGAAGC